TTTTATTTATAATATTATATATATTTATTTAATATTATAATATAATTATAAGTTTATAATGCAATTATAGTTGTAACATTGTGGGAAAATAACAAAAATTCCTAAAATAGGAACTACGGTCTAGGTCTCCATAGACACACGCGTCAGTGATCTATATGTTCGACGACCCATTTTTCCAAAATCAATGCAAATAAAGAAATAATCTACCCTCCTGATTGGTCCACGTGTTCCTTTTCTCCTCCAAATCCACTAGTGGTTTTCAACCCAAACGACCTCCCCGGCATAAACTTTCCTTATATAGCAGCCCCTCTCTTCTGCTCCTCATATCCACGCCCAAAAAGACGTTTCTGAAATCTCGGTTTGTCTCCTTTTCTCATCAGTCACTTCCTCTCCAAGTAAGTCTTTCTTTTCCCGGAAAAAACTTTTTCTCCGTTTCCTTTTTGTTTTTTTCTCGCTCAGATTCGCGCGCCTCGATTTTGTTCCTTTGTTTTCGCTCGCGCTCAATATCCAATCTCGAATTCTGATTTGCTCTCATTTTCCCTGGAAAATTTCCCGAGAAAAGTAGATTGAAATTATATACTCCGTACGAGCGATGGGGAGAGGGAAAATAGCTATAAGGAGGATCGACAACTCGACGAGCAGACAAGTGACGTTTTCGAAGCGCCGGAACGGACTGTTGAAGAAGGCGAAGGAGCTGGCGATCTTGTGCGACGCAGAGGTTGGAGTAATAATCTTTTCCAGCACCGGAAAACTCTACGATTTCGCCAGCACCAGGTCCTTTTAAGATCTAATTCATGAATTTCTTGCTGTTTATTTTTATTATCATTTGCTCATTCGTTTATTATTTTTGATGCTATAATTTTGAATAAATGCATTTATTCGCTCCAGATTTGTTTGTATATTTCATCTAATTTTTTCTTTCGAGTTGTTGATCGTGATTCTTATTCCGATTGGACTTTAGTGTTGGAATGATGCTAGGGAATTTCGAATTTGAGGCTCGAATTCAGATTTTATGATTTTATGCTGGAAAAACAGTTAGTCTAGTTAATTGCACTGTTTGGCTCCGCGATTATTGTTAATGGACTGAATTTGGTTTAGAATCGCTAGTCTAACGTCTTAGAATTTTAGCATATATAGCTAGCTCTATAATTAGGAGTGTGTGTTTGGTTTGGAGATTATAACTCTTAGATGGAAAGCATGAAAACCTAATTAAAGCAGTTCAGATGAGATTTCTGACCATAATATTGATAAGAAGTTTTGTTTGTAGTCTTAATTACCAGATCAATTCTGCAACTGCAAAGAGCTTTATGTCAGGTTGTTTTGCAGTCAGAATAGTTGGACTAAATGGCTGATATCTGTTAATTTGATTATGCTGTGCAAGGCTGTGATCTTTGAACTTGGAATTTGAGATCTAGCTTTGACAATTTGAGCAAATTTATTATTAGCTCTAATGAGAGTTACACATTTGAATGTTAGTGTTGAAAGAAAATAGATGTGAGAGAAAAGAGCCCTCCCATTCCCTAGGTCTCAGAAAATCAGAAAATCTATCGCAAAAAACACAAAAAAAGGTGATTTTTAATTTTAGAAAACTTGATACACCAATTAGCATAACTAAACGATTTGCATATATATATATATATATATATTTAAAATAGCATAACTATAGGTATGAAAACTTTTGTTTTACATAAAATTAAATAGACATAAATGCATATAGATATATACCATAGTAATTATATAAAACTATAATTGGAAGTCACAAATATATCCATATAGATATTTCTAGGAATGATACAATATTGTTGCGAGACTTGGAGCTGAGGTCAATAATTTTATTTGGAGAAGCTATGTTTGCTTGGATTAATTCATGAACCCGGTTTAGACATTTCATTGAGCTTCACTTTACTAAAATCAGTTTAAATGCATATTAACCAAAGAAATAACAATTCATGTAGCTCGATAAATTTCTTTTTCTAGATTCAACAAACATATCTTATTTAAGTACCAAGAAAAAAAAAAGGGTAAAAAATAGAAACTAACATTACTACGTACTTAGATAAATAGATTTCTGGTATATCATGTCGTTGTTTGATAGAGTACGGGACGTTCTTCAACCCTTACAACATACAGAAGTACACACTTTCTAGACAAATAGGATAATAATTAAACGAGTTGAGCTGAATTGAGTAGCTTAATACTTAAGCTCGAGCTCGGAGTTAGAGTAAAGAATATGTGTCAAGCTCGAGGTTTTATCAAAGTCTGAAGATGTTGTGCTCAAAAATACTCAGACGAGCTTGACTCATAAATTCAAGCGAAGTCGAGTAAACTCACAAGTAGCTTGTGAGCTTTAAAAGAAATAAATTATGTGATTAAATGCACATAATTATCACTTTTCTACCTTAATTATATAATGGAGTAGCTCAAGAGATTTTTAGTGGCATTAACATACTCCCTCGTGGCCGTAACACTGCCCCCTAAATTCATGTTATGAAAAATGAGTCTCGCATACAACTTGCAACAGTAACTGATAATGGACAAATTTAAGGGACACTCCTCTGCCATCTAACATATTGTAAGCAAAATATACCACTCTTCCCCATTCTACTGCTCTTTAGTTCCTTGAATCAGCAAAACTTTTAAATCTGCCTCTCAAATAGGAGGATAGAGATAAGTTCACCTCTACAAAAAGACAGAAATAAATATTATCCCTTCAAATTATCGATCAAAACAAATCATGTTTTATTTAACGTGTGACATCATCACACGTTATAAATTTATTTGCCACCTAAGTATTTTTTAATGGAAAATTGACGTGTGATCACACGTTAAATAGTGGGTGATAGATCTATCCCTACTCTCCTATTTGAGGGTGGATTTGGGGGTTTTGCCCCTTCAATCTTGTAATATTGGTTTGGTTGCTTCTAATTATTTTATATGCATAATAGATTTTTTTTTTTTTTTTTTTAGATTAATGATTTAAGGACAATTTGTATTTTTAAGTATTTTACTTTAAAAAAATTAAAATAAAGAAAATATTTTATTAGAAGATGGATAATTAAAGTTGAGAGATAATGATAACATTAAAGTAAAAAAAAAATATTTGTTTCTCTTAAAATATAAAAAAATGACTATTATTTTGAAACAAATTCTAAATAAAAAGATGTGATAAAAAAAGTCAACTTATTATTTGTGGACGGAGGGTACAGTACTTACTTGTTCCCGAATAATAGTTATTTTATTTTATTTTATTTTGGGAATAATTTATAATTTTACCTATATTATCATTACAAAAATAAAAATAATAAAATTTTTTTATAATAAGATGGATAATAAAAATTAAAAAACAAATAATAATAAGGGTAAAATATATAAAAGAAAAATATTTATCACCCTTAAAATATAAAAAAATAACTATTATTATAAGATAAATTTTAAATTAAAAATATTTATTATTTTAAAACAGAAGGAATATATAGTTTATTAACAAGTAGCATTAGCTTAACAATTTTCTATAAGCAACCTAGCCTATTGCATCAATGGTGAATTAATTATTAATGGATACATATGGTTTTGGATGGCCAATGGAATTCGATCCTCGTGTTGTTTCTCTCTTTTGTTCCTTCCCAAGTGGGCATACAATATAAAATTTACAACTATAAATAATTATACGATTTAAAATTGGTCAATCAAAGTAAGGTTTTTTCTTATGTATATTAGGTGAATATAGCATACATGACCCTAAGAGGGGTGTCTTAACTGTGTTATCATTTAAACTTTATTTTGAAGATCTTAAGTTTGGACTTGATCAGCAATTAAGAAAGATTTTTTCAAAATAAATTTCAAGTGAGAAGGAATGACAGATTGGGAAAAATAAGTTATTTAAGGAATGATAGTTTTGTTAATTAATTAGTATTTTTAAGAGTTCCAACATAAAAACTTAAGTTTGTAATAGATGTAATTATAACTACACAACACTTTGTTAATACCTATTGGTTTGAGTAAAAAGAGTTCAGGTTTTCTTAAATAAGGTTTCGAATTCGACTTTTTAATAGAGAAATAAATGTTAGGAGAGCTTTTCCTTTATAAAGTTCAATGCAATTTGACTCAATTCTGTATTAATTAAGATCTAATGTAGTTATCAGATATCAGGAGATTAATACTAAAAAAAATGCTTTGTTAAGGCTACATAAACTTTGTTTAAATTGACTAATATAGTAATTTTTTTATTCTAAAAAACTAATAATTTTTTAATGTCTGAAAATATTAATTTATAAATTAATTTTAATTTATTAAGTAATAAATATTAATTATTAATTATTTTTAATGATTAAATCAAATAAAGTTAATATTTTTTAAATAATATTATATGATCTTAATAAATTAATACATGATTATAACTACAATTATTTGTAATATATATATATATTTTTTTTGGTTTCCCGTCCGGTATCTGGGATTTCACCCCGATTAATCCGGACCAACTCGCGTCGCGCACCTGGAAATGGTGGGTGAGTCTCTCAACGAAAGCTGCTGCATACACAAAGTCTCAAACTCGAGATCTTGTTTAAGCTGAAACAAGCCGCTTACCACTTGATCTAACCTCTCATTGGTGTAGTGAGATATATTTTCATCCTAGTATCTTATGTTCAAAGTTCAATTTGAGCCACCCAATTCTTCTATAAACCAAATTGAAAAATTTTCATTATAAACTTCACTTCACACAGCAATTATGGAGACTAGGATAGGAGAATCCACTTTGATCCAAATAAATTACAAGCCACTAAGGGACAAAGCATACCCAAAATTGAGGGACGACGGACATCAAATGGATCATTTATGAATTAGAAGGTGGCTGTTAGTTCTTGGAAACGTCTAACAATCTGTCCCTGTTTCACCATTCCATTATTAATATATTATTTTTAGAAACAAGGATTTATTAATGGTTAAATATCCTTTTTGGTCTCTCTGTTATTGAAAAAAGCTTCTTTTTTATCCCTGGATTGAAAAAATCTTTTTTTTAGTCCCTAAATATTGAAATCTGACTCTTTTTTGGTCTCTTAGTTAAATTTTTTGACATATAGTAGTTAATTAACAAAATTGTTTGATGTGAAAAATCCACTTCGTAAAAAAGAAATGATGTGGACATATTTTTGAGTCTACGTCAGCATCTTCACCCTTCTAACTTTTTTTTTTGTTTTTAATCTTTGCTGGGTTTATTGAGAACTCACCAAGGCACACACTGGGTGGGTTTGTCCTGGGTTTGCGAAGAACCTAGCATGCGCCTAGGTTTGTCCTGGGTTTGGGAAGAACCTAGCATGTGCCTAGATTTGTCCTAGGTTCGTTGGGTTCTTCGTGAACCCAGCAAACGTTAAAAAAAGAAAAAGTCCTAGGCTTGCGAAGAACCCAGCACGTGCCTAAGTTTGTCCTGGGTTCACTAGGTTCTTCACGAACCCAACAAAGGTTAACCAAAAAAAAAATAAAAAAAACAAGAAGGGTGAAAATGCTGATGTGGACTCAAAAATATGTCCACATCATTTTTATTTTTTGCAAAGTGAATTTTCCATATTATACAATTTCGTTAATTAATTGCTACCTGTAAAAAAATTTAATAGAGGAACCCAAAAAGGTTCGGTTTTTTTTATAAAAAGGATTTTTATGAAAAGACTATAGGGACCAAAAAAGGTATTTAACCTTTATTAATTAGAGTCACTAATATTCTAAATCACAGGACCAGTTCAATATGATGTACCAACAGGAAAAGAAAAGATAAAAACTCCATAAAAGTCAGTTCAATTGATAAGCTTCAAATACTTTCAACCATTTGTTTTTTGATTCAACTCCCTTAGCAGTCTCTCGTAGATAGACAATTTATAACAAGTCTAAGTCCCCGTTAGAGATGGTGGCATGCTATACCTGGTTAACAATCCCTCATTTTAGGGGCGTGTTGGGTATGCAATTAACAAAAAAAAAGAAAAGAAGAGGAATTTAGCAAAGCTGCACAAAAAATAATTTGGCTTATAAAATTAAATTTTTTGACACGTAAATTTATGCACAATATAATTGATTATAAAAGAAAAGTAATTGTTAGCCTAGATGATTGTAACCTAAGAGGGGGATGAATTGAATTTTTGAAAACTTATGCAACTTTTGTGTAAATCGATAAATAAGCATATGTAATTACAAATGCATAAATTAAAATGCAAAAATTTAATGAACAGGGAAGAGAAAGTTCAAATACAATGATTTATAATGTTTTGGTCACAACTTTTATCTAGTCTACCACTCAAACCATCTGTCAGAAAATTTGCTTTGAATTCAAAGTCTCATCTAATTTTTTAGTGTAAAGGAGACTGTGTAATAGCTTTTTCGGCTCTATTCACTATCAACAAACTAATCTCTTGTTACAATTTCTCACAAACTTAATCCATAATGATGGTTTTTCTAGATTTAATAGGATTACACAATTCTTCTTTCACTTTTTTTTATGAAAAAGAATGAAGAGAACAATGATCACAAAATGATCAAAGTAAAAACTTAAACACAAAAAATATGAAAACTTATAACTCTCTCTCAAAGATAGAGACTTCTCTTCTTTCTCTTCTCTTGACATGTGTCAACCTCCAATGGCGTTTATTTATTCTCCAAGAAGCCTTAATTAAGGCCTCTAGTCATTGCCCTCAATTTAGAAAGAATCAAGTTTGATTTAGAATGTACAACTTGCCTTCCAAACTTTATTCACAAACCATCTTCATAAGTTTAGAACCCCTTTTCGAATTTGTTTTTATTTATCCAGAAATACTTACAACATAAAGAAGCACATGAGCTGCTACAAGAAAGAAAAGGCTAAGAAAATACACAATAGTTAGTACACATTCTACTATTACCCAGAAACTAGTCTGTCACAATAGTTTCAAGTCCCCATTGAATTGCAATAGCCTTAGGAAGTGATGAAGACCTTAGGCGAGCAAACTCCAGCATTCTAGCTCTAACCTCAAACTGAATCTCATGAAGGATTGTACTCTCACTTCTAAAGAGCTGTAGATGAACTCTTCTGTTTCTTTCCATCCAAATGTTGTAGATTGTTGCATTCCATGAGAGTTTGATCAAAATGCTAAGCAAAGATTTTCTTCTGACCCTTTTCCCCATCCAATGTAATAAGTCTTGCCAAGAGTCCACAAAGGGAATATTGATCATAGTACTAATCTGCCTCCATATTGTGTTAGCATAACTGCACTTAAAGAACAAGTGCTCGGAAGTTTCTGAGTTATTATTGCATAGGATACAAGTATCTGAGATGGTAGGGGTCCATTGCTTTTGTCTAGCTTTTGTAGTCAATCTATTAAGTATGGCTAGCCAACCTATGAAGGTATGCTTAGGGATAGCATGAGGAAACCAAACAAGTTTATGCCATACCTTCTTGGGCTGCTTATGTCTCAACCAATGCCAAGTCTGACCAGTTTGGAAAGGTCCAAATGGGGAGGTCAACCAAATAACTGAATCATTTTCACCCTCCCTAGGATGAATATCAAAAAGAGGTATTTGAATTTCCACCAATTGGGGAGATCTAGCAGGAGGTCAATTCCAAAATCTACCACTTATAACACTGGCTAGTTTAGCTTGGGAAGATATCCCTGAATCATGAACAATAGAGTTTCCATAAACTTCTAACAGTGGGCCAGCAGGGTGCCAATTATCATGCCAGAGATAAGTGTTTTGGCCATTCCCTGGTATGTGCCGGATTAGCCCTTTAGCTAATGGCCTTAGTTTTAAAATTTTCCTCCATCCCCAAGAAGCATCAGAAGGAATATTAATAGACCAAAAGCTTCTACCCTTAAGTAAGTTTTCCTGGACCCAAGCAACCCAAACAGAACATGCCTTTGAGAATAATAGCCATATAAACTTTAAAATGCAAGCTTGATTCCATTGAACTAAGTTCCGGAGTCCTAAACCCCCTTCCTGTTTTGGAGTACAGACATGCAACCAGCTCACCTTAGCCACTCTAGCACTGCAAGTTTCATTATTCCAAAGAAAAGCGCCACATATCTTTTCCACTTCTTTAATAATCCCTTTAGGCAGTATGAAAACAGAACACCAAAAATTGGTGATGCCTTGAATTATCGAGGAGATTAGTTGTAATCTACCAGCAAAGGAGAGATGTTTAGCAGCCCAGGAGGACATTCTCTCAGTGATTTTAGAGACTAAAGGCCTGAGATCCTTCTTTGCAAGCTTTCCCGTGATCAATGGTACTCCTAAATATCTTACTGGCAGTGTACCAATCTTGAAACCAAATTTTGCAGCAAGCAACTGGGTATTTGATGTAGATAACCCACAACAGAACAATTCTGACTTAGCATAGTTCACTCTCAGGCCATAAACCTTATAGAAATGCGTCAAGACAACATCAATTGCATTTAGAGAGGCTAGGCTACCATCTGTAAATATCATGAGATCATCAGCAAAACATAAGTGTGTAAGCTGCACATTTTTGCATTTAGGGTGATAAGCAAATTTTCCTTCCTCAACAGCTTTGTTCAACATACGAGAAAGGACCTCCATGCATACCACAAAAATGTATAGGGATAAGGGATCCCCTTGCCTAACTCCTTTCTCTCCTGAGAAGTAACCACTTGTTTTGCTTAAAACTAAAAAGAGTTTTCTGACAGCCCTCTCTTTTTCCCAAGCATAGAATTTAGTCATAAGTTAATGGAAGAACATCATAGATTATACCTTAATGATTAGACGATTGGCAAAAACAAAGGATGTACTTCCTGCACTAAATGGGTTAAATGACAAAATGCCTTAGATATGTTTCTAAGGATTCCTTCAAACCAATGTAATCAAGAAAAACTAAGATTGCAAGAAAAGTAAGTAATTGTTAAACTACTAAAAATCTAAATGAATTTCAGATATACAAACTAAGTTGAAACAAAGATCTAAAATGAAAATCTAAATACAAAAAAATAAATTAAGTTAAAGTAAATGAAATTGGAAACAGGAAAAATCAATTGACAACGTGAAATTTAAATTAATAAAAATGAAACAGAACATGAAATTAAAAATCAACATTACTTGATTAAATTAAAAGAAACTACGAAAATCATAAAAGAAGGGAAGTAATTCGATTACAAAGAAATATCAATGAAGG